ACCCGTATTGAGGCGTACTTGTAGATCACACCGAGCAGCAATCTCTTATTCGTCACAACTTTCTGGATTTGAGATTTGTTGCTCGTCAGAACCGGCAGTATGTCAGGCATTAGGTGTGCAACTTTGTTGTCACCGAGAAAAATCCCAAAATGAGTGAACAAAGTGCGAGGAACCTCCAGCAGATCCCCGCGCTGGAAATAGGAGCTCTCCTCGCGGCGTATTGGGCATCTTTCTTGTTTAGATGAAGTTGTGCTGAAAAAGTTCAAATGTGCAAGAAGGAAGGTTTTCTCCAAAAGCAAAGCAAGGGAATCTAACATTTTGCAGTGCTGCCCAGGCTTCACTTCCCCGCTTCGTTTTATTCTAAGGAGCAGCGGTCCGTCATTGCGTCACTGCGTTGGCGGAGACTATTGGCCGCTGCTGATGCTCTATTGAAGAGCTGTACAAATGTAAACAACTGTAAACGGGGAAAAAAGAATATAATAATGGTACAATGTAAGTGTAAGTTACCTTATCGCATAAATGTAGCCTATAATTTGGACACATATAAGAAATGTTGTCGTAACTAAGTTTGTGTTTGTTTGTTGTATAGATTAAATTTAGGAGTGGAAGTAGCAGGTAGGTATTATGAAAAATGAGTATTATGAAAAAAGGTAGGTAAAATAAACTCAGGCTCCAGTCTACACCCTTTTCAGTTGATATGGAAAATTACGTATAAATAGTATTTATTTATGTATAACTTTGTATTTATTAGAATTTATGTATGAGGACCCAAATAAAAATCTTGATCATGATGAAAGTACTCACCATTAATTTTAATTCAGAAGTAAAATGCCATCCTGTAATGCTTATACGGTTTTATTTTTACACAAAAGTTTTGGTATTTATGAAGAATACACTCAAAACATTATCCCAATTGGAGTACTGTGTGTGTGTGTGTGTATACTGACATTATATTATATAACTGAGAAATTGTTAGTAAATTTCGCAAACAATTACAAAGAAATGGCAAGTAACAATAAATTAAACTTTTTTTTTTTTTTTTACATATAAATATAAATGTAATATGTCTATTTATTTATGTTTTAATAATTTAGTTATGAACTCAAACTTTGTTCTGCAAATCTATTTAATTTGTTCTTATGGCTATTGCTCAAAAATGAACAAACAAACTAGTTAAACCGAAGGTCTCTGAACTCCAGCAGTGTCTGGACTTTCTCTGATGTAGGTATGTGCAGGGTAGACGTGGAAAAAGTGAGCAGAAAGTTTGGGTAACGGTGGTTTGAAGTTGAGAGCTAGTTCATGCCATATGGCAATAATTAAAGTCCTCAATACATTCACCCAGACCGCACCAAACAAGAGCTCCTTTTACCAATAGACCAGTTTGCGAGACGTGCAGACCACGTCAGCACTTTATTAAAAGTCCTCAGAAATGCAGCCATCACATTTCCAAAACAGAAAAGGATTGAATTCACCACGAGTTCAGCAGCAATACTAATGAATGCCAATAGCACTAATGGTCTAAACTATAGATAGAGTGTGTCAATGGAATGAAAACAACCAATTGTCTTGTAAATAGTCCAGCTCCATACAATCCTTAATGCAAAGTTTATAAAACCCACATTGAGCTTAACGGGACATTAAGTGGTAAAGTGTTAGCAAAATGATGCAAAACAGTCTTACCTCAGAGATAAAGAAAAGGATTAAAGCTGCCCCAAAAAGCCGCCCTCCCCCTGAGGTTCACTTTTGGGGGACAGCGATGATGGACAGGAGGAGAAATCAGTGTCACAGTGGTAACAAAGGTGTCCCAGTGAGGGCAAAAGCTGAATGTTGAGTGATTAGTGATTATTCGGTTCTCTCTCAGAGCTGTTGCTTGCTTGAACAGCAGTGGAGCGCTGAAAGATAGCGGGTGATAAATGATAAGCCATTTATCTTCCTTCTCTGTTTTGTCCCCCAGCATCCCAATGTCTGTATGTGACAGCTGAATGCGCTTGTGATAAATGTGCGAGTTTTGAATGAGAGTGATTTCGGTTTATGTGACCGTGTATGTGTTTGTTGTGAATGACACACTGTTGCATTAAGATGAAGCCAAGAAGCTCTGCATGCGCACAATGAAGAACTGCTGGATCTGTCTGTCAGCCATTGACAAATGAATTCTTCACACGTCTCACCGTCCACTTCCCACTGATCACTCTGCACCGCTGAGGTCATGCTGTTAGCGCATGCTAATGCGGGTCAAAACATCACAGTTTGAACGATTTCCCATAAAACCTGACAAAAGAATGTGTTAACGTCACAGTGAATAAAAATGCATGAGGTAGTTGAGGTTGGAACATTTTCGACAATCATTCTTTAATGATAAGTACTGTTTTTCCAGCAGCATTAAAGCAAATTCTCTTCTTTCTTAGAATACACACATATTTCCTCAACGGTAAACAGAAACTCAGTCATCAGAAGAGGAAAAACCTTTTGCTCTCTGACTTCCTGTGTCGTTAGGGGTCAGAGGTAATGAGAGAACGTTGTGGCTCTGGACTTCAAGGGTTTATTGTTTTGCCATCGCCTGTTAGACGTGACCAACTCAACACAACTAAGTGAACGACGTCGTTCTCTAATGTACTCACTACATATCAAAGTGCTTGCATGTTCAACAACGACGCACCAAAACTGACATTCAGCTTCAATTAGCTCTTTATTTTGTTTATCTTTAATGCTTTTTTTTGTTTATTTTTAATGCTCATTTGTTTTACTAATCATTCTTATGTGTATTAATCACAAAATAAAATAATAAAAAAAAACTAATAAAAGGCACAGTTATGTTAGAAAAGTTCACATTTTGATCGTGTGGAACTGCTTGAACAGTTTGGGAACTGTTAGTAGACACAAACTAAAATGGAAAACACTGTTTACATTCTACAAAGTTCATAATATAATCCATCTGGGCATTTTCAAACATTATAAAATCACATTTCTTTGACATTATCCATTTGAAGCAGTTTTTAAATGGGAAATCTCAACACACCCCTGACATCTTTTAGTCCTTGTCCTTTATTAATCGACCAGTGATTTCAAATTAGGAAGGCCTTTCAGTTTGTAGTCAAGCAGCATTTGCCCATAAGCTTTTCCCTGCAGAAACAACACAATTTTAGTAACACTAAACACATGATGTAACACTATGTTGTGAGGGATTTATATAACTGGTAAATATCTAAATGTTGATTATAATAAAAACTATAATTTAAAAGTTTGGGGTCGATACAATTTTAAATGTTTTTGTAAGAAGTCTCTTCTGCTCACCAAGGATGCATTTATTTAATTAAAATACAGAGAAACATATAGTGAAATATTATTACAATTTCAAATAACCGGTTTCTATTTTAATCTTTTAAAATGTAATTTATTCCAGTGATGGCAAAGCGGAATTTTCAGCATCATTACTCCAGTCTTCAGTGTCACATGATCCTTCAGAAATCATTCTAATATGCTGATTTGGTGCTCAAGAAACATTTCTTATTATTATCAATGTTGAAAACAGTTACATTTTTCCAGGATTCTTTGATGAATAGAACATTTATTTGAAGAGAAATCTTTTGTAACATTATAAATGTCTTTCCTTATACTTTTGATCAGTTTAATGCATCGTTGTTGAATAAAAGTACTAATTTCTTACAAAAAATAAACTTATTGACCCCAACCTTTGTACTTTAACATACAGGTTCAGAACAAAACAAGGGTGAGGAAATAATTCTTTAAAGTTGTAAATATCTAGATACCCAAGTAATCTCATACCAAGTGTAAATAGTTTTCTTCCTTAAAATAAAAAATTTCCCCCCGTAGAGTTTTATGATCATTCTTTAAACTTTCTGTGAAACTTCAGAAAGACCCACATTGGTTGACGTCACTGTGTCTATGTCCATTTTGCGAGTTTGAATGAATGAATGTGTGCCACACTGTCTGCGTATGTGCGTATTACCTGAGGGTCGCTGCGCAGTGACGCCACCCCTCCCCCTCCAAGTGAGTTTTGAAGAATGAAGTTCAGACCATGAATGCCAGGCAGTTCGTACCTGGAAGTCACCGCAAACATGTGAAATAGATTATTTTAATTGAGATCACCTCCCTGTTTTCACACATCTGTGCATTAGCTCACACCTCACTCTCATACCGACAGGCACCTAGACATGTCGGTCCTCATTAGCGGCACCAAAGGAGTTTTCCACAACCCATAAAACAAGAGGCTTGCGTGCATGGACTCTCCCTCACACACACACAGGTCTTTAAAAAGCGGTACAGGCTACAGATGTGGAGTAGCTCAATATAAAGGTGTTACAATGTTTATTTTGCATGACTGTAACTTCCTTACAGCTTCAGACTTTAACTAGTAATGGTTTCCTTAAAAGTAGGTTACTAACAAAGTGTTTAAGGATAACTTATTTTAAAGATTGTCCGTCTTTGCTTTTTACTTCATCAAACCATTACATGTTAACATCTTTCACTACTAGACATTGTCTACTAGCACATTTTTTATTTCTTCTTACCGTATGACAGAGGGTAGGTCAGTCTGATCCTTTCTGATCAAATGTTGGAAATACTGTTCCACAACTTCAGCAGTTAAAAACTTTTTCAGGTAGGGGAAATACAGTGGGTGTCTTGCAATAACCCCTAAAAAAAGAAGTTATACATATTCGATTTTTAGATCTATGGATCAACAAATTGGGACACTGGGATGGATGGATTTGACCTATTGACATTTCGGTTCAATTTGAATAGATAGATAGATAGATAGATAGACAGACAGACAGACAGACAGACAGACAGACAGACAGACAGATAGACAGACAGACAGACAGACAGACAGACAGACAGACAGACAGACAGACAGACAGACAGACAGACAGACAGACAGACAGACAGACAGACAGACAGACAGACAGACAGACAGACAGACAGACAGACAGACAGACAGACAGACAGACAGACAGACAGACAGACAGACAGAAATGCTCATTTGTTTTACTAATCATTCTTATGTGTATTAATCACAAAATAAAATAATAAAAAAAAACTAATAAAAGGCACAGTTATGTTAGAAAAGTTCACATTTTGATCGTGTGGAACTGCTTGAACAGTTTGGGAACTGTTAGTAGACACAAACTAAAATGGAAAACACTGTTTACATTCTACAAAGTTCATAATATAATCCATCTGGGCATTTTCAAACATTATAAAATCACATTTCTTTGACATTATCCATTTGAAGCAGTTTTTAAATGGGAAATCTCAACACACCCCTGACATCTTTTAGTCCTTGTCCTTTATTAATCGACCAGTGATTTCAAATTAGGAAGGCCTTTCAGTTTGTAGTCAAGCAGCATTTGCCCATAAGCTTTTCCCTGCAGAAACAACACAATTTTAGTAACACTAAACACATGATGTAACACTATGTTGTGAGGGATTTATATAACTGGTAAATATCTAAATGTTGATTATAATAAAAACTATAATTTAAAAGTTTGGGGTCGATACAATTTTAAATGTTTTTGTAAGAAGTCTCTTCTGCTCACCAAGGATGCATTTATTTAATTAAAATACAGAGAAACATATAGTGAAATATTATTACAATTTCAAATAACCGGTTTCTATTTTAATCTTTTAAAATGTAATTTATTCCAGTGATGGCAAAGCGGAATTTTCAGCATCATTACTCCAGTCTTCAGTGTCACATGATCCTTCAGAAATCATTCTAATATGCTGATTTGGTGCTCAAGAAACATTTCTTATTATTATCAATGTTGAAAACAGTTACATTTTTCCAGGATTCTTTGATGAATAGAACATTTATTTGAAGAGAAATCTTTTGTAACATTATAAATGTCTTTCCTTATACTTTTGATCAGTTTAATGCATCGTTGTTGAATAAAAGTACTAATTTCTTACAAAAAATAAACTTATTGACCCCAACCTTTGTACTTTAACATACAGGTTCAGAACAAAACAAGGGTGAGGAAATAATTCTTTAAAGTTGTAAATATCTAGATACCCAAGTAATCTCATACCAAGTGTAAATAGTTTTCTTCCTTAAAATAAAAAATTTCCCCCCGTAGAGTTTTATGATCATTCTTTAAACTTTCTGTGAAACTTCAGAAAGACCCACATTGGTTGACGTCACTGTGTCTATGTCCATTTTGCGAGTTTGAATGAATGAATGTGTGCCACACTGTCTGCGTATGTGCGTATTACCTGAGGGTCGCTGCGCAGTGACGCCACCCCTCCCCCTCCAAGTGAGTTTTGAAGAATGAAGTTCAGACCATGAATGCCAGGCAGTTCGTACCTGGAAGTCACCGCAAACATGTGAAATAGATTATTTTAATTGAGATCACCTCCCTGTTTTCACACATCTGTGCATTAGCTCACACCTCACTCTCATACCGACAGGCACCTAGACATGTCGGTCCTCATTAGCGGCACCAAAGGAGTTTTCCACAACCCATAAAACAAGAGGCTTGCGTGCATGGACTCTCCCTCACACACACACAGGTCTTTAAAAAGCGGTACAGGCTACAGATGTGGAGTAGCTCAATATAAAGGTGTTACAATGTTTATTTTGCATGACTGTAACTTCCTTACAGCTTCAGACTTTAACTAGTAATGGTTTCCTTAAAAGTAGGTTACTAACAAAGTGTTTAAGGATAACTTATTTTAAAGATTGTCCGTCTTTGCTTTTTACTTCATCAAACCATTACATGTTAACATCTTTCACTACTAGACATTGTCTACTAGCACATTTTTTATTTCTTCTTACCGTATGACAGAGGGTAGGTCAGTCTGATCCTTTCTGATCAAATGTTGGAAATACTGTTCCACAACTTCAGCAGTTAAAAACTTTTTCAGGTAGGGGAAATACAGTGGGTGTCTTGCAATAACCCCTAAAAAAAGAAGTTATACATATTCGATTTTTAGATCTATGGATCAACAAATTGGGACACTGGGATGGATGGATTTGACCTATTGACATTTCGGTTCAATTTGAATAGATAGATAGATAGATAGATAGACAGACAGACAGACAGACAGACCAACAGACAGACAGACAGATAGATATGACCTATTGACATTTCAGTTCAATTTTAAATTTCAACAAGTTAACAAATGATGTCCAAAAAAAAAAAATCCCATGTCTACTCCCAGTCTACTGTGGACAATACATAACCACCCGTCACATCTAAAATGAAGTTAAGACTAGGGCAGGTTGCCACATCACAAGAGAGTGTTGCCTTTTGGGCTGCAGACAGTGAGCTGTGATTTGTGGTTTGTGGTCAGAGAACATGGTCTGACCCAGCATTTTCCCAGCATTTATTGCCAGAATGGCTTTTTTGGTATGACAGTGACATGCAATAAGCAAACTGTCTCATCATTCAAACATTATTCACTGCGTGTGAAAGCACATGGGGAGACACTTACCGATGTTTGAGGAGTCCCCTTTGTCTCCACTGCGCGTGTATGCTAACTCCTCCAGTCTGAAGGTATGCGGGCCAGAGGGCAGATCTGAGAGAGACAATTTTGTTCTCAGCGTAATTCAATTCAGCAGTTGGCAGGTTGAACTAACAGCGAGCATCTGAACCTATTCAAAGCCCATTTTTCTCCCAGTCAACTCACAGATTCCTTGATATGATTGATCATTTAAATTGGTATAAGCAAACAAAAATTAAGCATTTACACTATCGTTCAAAAATTTGGGGTCAATAAGATTTTAAAAAAAAATTTTTTAATTAATACTTTTATTCAGCAAGGATGCATTCAAATGATCAAAAAATGACAGTAAAGACATTAATAGTGTCTAAAAACAGATTTATATTTAAAATAAATGCTGTTTTGAACTTTCTATACATCAAAGAATCCTGAAAAAAATAATGGTTTCAACAAAAATATTAAGCAACACAATTGCTTTCAACATTGATAATCATAAGAAAGAGTAATGGCTGCTGAAATTTCAATTTTGGCATCACAGGAATAAATTACAATTTTAAATAAATATATTAAAATTGAAAACAGTTATTTTAAATTGTGGTAATACTTTGAAATGTTACTGTTTTTACTGTATTTTTGATCAAATAAATGCAGCCTTGGTGAGCACAAGACTCCTCTTTACAAAACATAAAAAAATGGTACTGACCCCAAACTTTGAACAGTAGTGTATGTTTTACAGAAGAATGTAAGTGGCTGCCATGATGCTAGTGTGGTTTAGGGTTACCAGGGTTGCAGTTCATAGGGTGTTTTGAGCAGTTGCTTATTGCCTCAAGTCTAAAAAATAACAAATGCAAAGTCTCTATGTCCACAGATATGATTTTTTAAAAACACGTAGCCTTAAAAGAATAGTTCACCCCAAAATTAAAAAAAATCTATTTACTTACCTTCATGTCATTCCAAATTGGTATGACTTTCTTTCTTCTCTAAAATACAAATATTTAAAGTAGAATGTCCAAAATGCTCTTTTACGTACAATGCAAGTGAATGGTGGCCACAACTGTTAAGCAAGATTTTTCATGAATAACAACAAAATTCTGTTTATTTCTTATACAAAGCTATTTCATGCTTTGAGGAGACAGTACATAAGCTATATAGACTGCTTTATGATGCTTTTGTTAAGTACCTTTAGTGCAGAGAAGAAAGCAGCATGAACATTATTCAAAACATGTCCTTTCATGTTCCACAGAAGAAAGAAAGCCATACAGGTTTGGAACAACATGATAGTGAGTAAATGATTAAATAATTTTCATTTTTGGAGTTCAACACAGCTCATTGTCGGTCTAATTGCTTTATCTGGTTATCATTGGCTAAATCGCATATAATCAGTTTTTCAGTCTCAGAAAAAGCCCCTGGGCTGCAGAAACATTAGAAGCCTCTCTTACAATCAGCCCTCTGTAATGCTCTAATGACCGAGGCTCCAGGTTCTTCTGTCTGTTTGTGTCTGTGCAGATTTGGGAGGGAAGGAACATGAAACAAAGTGAAAAGAAAAAGTGCAGAGACTATGTTGCTTTATATTGTGTTCATTTGTATTTAAAACCTCCTGTGTTTGTGTGCGTGGCCCTTGCGTATTTGTGAATGAATGCAAGTGTGTGAATGAGAGTCTGCGCTTGCGTGTGTTCAAACACTAGATCCAATGAAAGGATGCCCCTGATTATTTAAAGGGTATAGCTGCTTGTTTAGTGCAACTGGGAAGTGGCAGATAGATAAAAAGACTCAAGCAAACACTGCCAGGACACCACAAAGGTTGTGCCTTTCAGAGAACCTAAAGCAAAAGGACTCTGGGAAAAAAAGCAGCCCTGGATTCCGGTGCAAGGGATCTTATAAAACCTTCTCTCGGTAGAACAATCACACTGGCTCTTAAAACAAGGCTTAAGCCTACTTCTTTCAGTTGAGTTTGTTGCTCAAACATTCCATCCACCTCCACCTTGAAGTAGGTCATATCAAACACTGAATGCTTGTCTCCATGTGAAAAAAAAAGTTTTGATACACAATAGCGTTTATCATTAATAAGATCACATGATGTGCTGATTTGGGAAAATTTAGGGGGAAAATAGTGCTGAAAAGTGTACAAAGCATGAAAAATGTTCTCTGAGAAAAAGATACAGAGAATAACTCGTCTGTGAAAAGAAAGAAATGCAATACTAACCTTGTCATATTCAGACTCATTTTGAACAAATTACCATAAACTATAAATTCTACAGGATTCGCTGGCTCCAATGTAAATCAATGTGTTTACAAGCAAACTTTTTACTTATTATTGTCATTAAATTCAATATTGTTATGGATATTTAATTGAAAGTGTACTGTATGTCCTTTAGAAATGGTCTGTTGTTATGGAGCTTGACAGTCAGGGTTGGCACCATTTTTCACTGTGTGGAAAAGAGCAGCTTGGACATTTTGCTAAAAAAAATCATTTTTGTCATCATATAGGTTTCAATTGTAAGGTGAACAGTTGATGGCTACATTTATTTGATCAAAAATACAGTAAAACATCAATATTATGAAATATTATTACAATTTATAATAACTTTTCTATGTTAATATATTTTCAAATGTAATTTATTCCTGCTATGGCAAAGCAGAATTTTCAGCAGTGTCACATGTTCTAATATGCAGATTTGGGGCTCAATAAACATTTACTATTATCATGTTGAAAAGAGTTTTTGCTGCTTTATATACAGTGAAAACCATGATACATTTTATCAGGATTCTCTGATAAATAGAAAGTTTTTAAAAAACGGCATTATTTGAAATAGAAAGCTTTTGTAACATTATTAATGTCTATTCTGTCACCTTTTAAAAATGTCTTTAAAAAAAATACCCCTAATTTTGAAGTAGTAAGTATAAAATAGTGTAAGTTTCATATTTATGTGAACTATTCCATGAACACTTCACATTTCACAATCAGCAGGGTACCTGTGGGTGCTTGGCCATGTTCCTCTGAATGGAGGAAGGGGTCGTGTCCTTCAGTTAATGAAGGGTCTGATACTGCCTCTCTGTGTGTCTCCACAAGCTCCCCATTCACATAAATGTGCACCTGAAAGCCCCAATTAATATTCATTCATTCACTCAATCATCCATATGTATAATTCAAATGATCCATTTCCATATTCTGTCCAATACACCTTTTATATTAATAAACGTTTTGATTTTGTTGTATACAATGCTGAAATTTGATAAAGCATGTATTCAGGATAATCAGGCCACTTTTTTCCCATTTATCTTAACAAGAAATCTAAGCCAGTTTACCCGATTTCACCATATGCAATGGTCCTGTATTTCAATATTCAAAATATGCAATATGGTATTTAAATGATTCTCCAAAGGAATATAACAGTATTATTAGCATGTTACATTTTAAACAAAAAAATTAAATAAATAAATAAAAACAAATAAACAAATAAATAAACATGGTATTATCATGGAAGTCATAAAAAATAATGTCACTACCTCCAAATCTGCTTTGGGATGCAGGAAAAAGAAAGGCTTCAGCACTGGTGATCTAGAAAAAAAAAAACAGTCATTAAATAATACACATGCAACATTTGGCGGGATACTTTTACGTGAAGTTCTAAACAGTTTTTTTTTTGTACTTAAAGAACTACTTACTAATACTTACATTCTTGGTCGCCCTCCTACAATAGCTGTGAGTCCTGGAGCTGAAGAAAGAAAGAAATTACATATTGGCCTAAGTTGAACAAATGTTCTTTGACTTTAAACGGATAGTTCACCCAAATATGAAAATTACCCCATGATTTACTCACCCTCAATCCATCCTAGGTGTATATGACTTTCTTCTTTCAGACGAATACAATCAATTAGATTTAATGTCCTGGCTCTTACTAGCTTTATAATGGCAGTGAATGGGGGTTAAGATTTTGCAGCCCAAAAAAGTGCATCCATCCATAAAAAGTAATCCACATTTGAAGCAAAATAAAGTGCATCCATCCATCATAAAAGTACTCCACATGGCTCCGGGTGGTTGATAAAGGCCCTCTGAAGTGAATCGATGCGTTTGTGTATAAAAAATATTCCTATTTAAAACTTTATAAACCGTAATCTCTAGCTTCCGCTAACTGTCGTAAGTGCATTCACGAGAGAGTGGCGTTCCAGCGGATAACGTAAAACGTAGGCGTAGCGTAAGCTCTGGTGAGAAGTGACAAACTCGGAAGTGCAGAGATGAGAGCAAAACACAACACCGGATTTGTAAAGAAACATGTCAGAGGATTTCAATATGAGCCAAGAGGAGACTGGTTTTCCTTTGCTGTAAACAAAACTTGGTTCTCGCGAGACTAGCATATTCTCACCGGAGCTTACGCTACGTCATCCGCTGAAATGCCACTCATATGACAGTTAGCAGAAGCTAGAGATTACAGTTTATAAAGTTTTAAATATGGATATTTATGGATTCTTGCATTCTTACAAAAATGCATCCATTCTCTTCAGCAGGCCTTCAATTAACACCCTGGAGCCATGTGGAGTACTTTTATGATGGATTGATGCACTTTATTTTACTTTAAAATCTTGACCACCATTCACTGCCATTATAAAGCTTGGAAGAGCAAGGACATTTTTAAATATTATTCCGATTGTATTTGTCTGAAAGAAAAAAATCATATACAACTAGGATGGCTCGATGGCGAATAAATCATGGGGTAATTTTCATTTTTGGGTAAACTATCCCTTTAAATGAACAGTGACCTTAACTAATGTGATTTGGAAACAAGGCAGGATAAAACTGAGATGAGGTTTTTACTCACCCATGCCTGTACCCGCTGGTGCCACCTCTCTGGAGAAAAACTCTAATGCTTTCTTCTGCTTGTGATGGACAGCCATCCAAACCACAGCCTCACGAGGACTCTGCACAATAAAGAGCAGCCTTCAAAAGCTGTAGGTTATTTGTTCTAATTGTAAACTGACAGTTTACCAATTGCTACACAATTCATAGTTTTCACGTGACATCACACCCTTACAGGAACGCCCACATGGAGGGCAAAACAAGGCTTTCCTCCGTTGACCGCCAGTTATTTTTACGAGGTTTGCATTAAGTAGTAATGTAGTAAGACAGTGATATTTAAAGGCCAAATTCAGTATACACCTTATTGATGATGCATACTTTGTAAAGGCAAGCATATGAACCCAGAATATAAACGCAATGCGCAAAGTTTAATATTAAATGTTTTCCCATAGAAAACCATTATAAAGAAAACACTTAACCATTTAGTACATTGCGTTCATATTCCGGGCTCATTTGCTTGCCTGTGTAGAGCATGCATCATCATTAAGGTGTGTACTGAATTTGATCTTTTAGTATCACTGTTTTAAAGGCACTTTAAGTGTTTTCACATTAAACGTTTAAGAATGTACCGCTGTTTTTAGTGATTGAAATATTGTGGCGGGTGCTTCATATCGATTGCTAATGGCCAAAACTTGCATTTTGTTCACATATCTTTGCTTTATACTTTTTAGAGGCGAAATAAATATTTTTGGATTGGAACAGATAGAAAATTGACAGGCTTGTGCTGCAGTTCTATGGATGTTTTGCCCGCCAGGTCTTCGAATTTTTAACAGAAAACAGAAACAGACAGCCTACTGTATTGATGGCATGTGGTCCATATGTGTCCTCAGCACCCAGAACTTGAATGTTGACATCAGCATAGTCCTCCAAACCCAGCTGTTTGAAAATTTGCTGGGTCCTACAGATATTTCATTATGCATTTTCACAATGCAACCCTACAGTTCATTTCATGCAATGTTATTAGTCATTAAAGCTAGTGGGGTTTAATACACTTTATAAACACTGTATTTAACAAACTTTATTTAGGATATTTAATCTTAGCTGTCTTAATCAACCTTATACCAACTTGTATTGCTGATTACGATAGCAAAAATTAGTTTTTTTAAAACAATAAATTACATATCAAGTATTTGACCAATACAATCACTCAGAATAAACGATTAACCTTTTGATAATGCTCTCTGCTGTTCTTCTGGCTTTTTCTACAGCTCTCGGACCACCAACAGGACAAACCGCCATCGCCCTGAACCCATCCATATATGTGGCACAAACCTATAGAGGACAAAATATAAAACATAACCTTTTTTTTTTTTTTTAAAGTAGCTAATTTATTCATTTTTGATTATTGCATAAAAAGAAAAGTTAAACTTAAACTGAAATGACTGATTTAAACCAACCAAACCAGAAATGGTGACCAACCTTGTAGTCACCTGATGGCGGTGATCCTTTGGCACCACCTACTTTCACTGCTCCACCATCCACATCTACACACATATAAAGCCCCGTCAGAGAATTTGTGAGGTATCAGATTTTGAATGTTCAGCAGTTTTTCTTCAAATCAAATCAAGTTAGTGTACATACATTAGCTTATTGATTACACAGACAATGAGATGGAAGTTTAGGGGACAAAGAAAATATTTGTTTTGTGACCAAGAAAATAAAATTAGTTAAATGAAAGAGGTTGCAAAGGTTATAGCAGATAGATGGAACCAGCTTTTAGGTAGCCAGTCTAGATACTGGTGTAAAGTCAATGGCCTGTGTCTTTGAGTCAGACATTTAGAGATAATAAACAAGCAACCATCTGACTTTTTACTGGAGATAAGTACTGTCATCAGCCAGCTTTGGTTTGCTTAAAGTTATCTATCCACAATTTTGAAGATATTACTACTATATCTATAAATATGCCACTGCATGATTATTATAAACAATCATGCATGTACAATCCAGTAAAAGTTGACTGACCTGGTATCTCAGTAATGGTGACATTGGAAAAGTCACATGTGACATCAGGCAGGAGGTAACGCTGTGGGTCTCCAATCTCATACACTAACTGCTCTGCCACTGTACCAAATGAAACCAGCCCACCGGTTTTTGGAGGTTTGGACAGTGTAAATGAGCCATCAGCAGAACATTCTATCACCGGGAAGCCCATGTTATCCCTGAAAATGTAAAGAATGAAGGTGAGAATGCACATATATCAAATACTTCCCACTGTCATTATATTCAGTGTATGAAGTATGTTTATTTGAAGTCATTGAAGTTAAAGTTACAGTAAAAGAAAAGAAGTGATCTCAAGGATAAAAGACATATGAAGTGTCAAGGAGTCAAGAACATGTCTGTGTCATATTTCACCCCCAAAACTGAAATCAAAATGAATTAAGAAATTGTATTTTGCTTAAAGAGAAGGAAGCCTTTTTTCAGGACCATTAGGATTTTTGCACTGACACATTTTCATGAAAATTAAGCACATCCTCCCCAACAATTGTCATTACCTGAATGCAAAAAAACTATTTTCATTACTGAAATGTGAAATATTTCAATTAAAGTATTTATACATAATGGTATTATGTATAAAGCTGCACAATTGTTTTTTAGCATAGATGATAATGGAAATGTTTCTTGTGCAACAAATTAGCATATTAAAATGATTTCTGAAAGATCATGTGACTGAAGACTGGAGTAATGGCTGCTGAAAATTCAACTTTTAATGAGAATCTAATGCAACTGAGAATGAAGAATATTAGTGAAACATTAAAATTACTGTAATCAGAATTTATATAGAAAATGCGCTATATAAATGATTTCAAAAGAGACCGATTTCAAAAACATTAAAATTTAAAATAAAGTTAAATAAAGTCAAGAAATTGTTAAGATGCTAGACTGAGAAGAGGTTCTGTGGATGCAAAATATGCACTTTTTGTGAATGACAAATACGTACAGAAATACTGTTAAAAACCACCGCAACAATAGCAGTTTAACAAGAAAACGGAGGAAGCTGGTTTGAATTTGAATGTGAATTTCTTCTTGAATTAAGTCTCAAACTCTCCCTTTAGAAGTAAATTTGGCTCTTTCTTAAAAGACACACTGCTGGTGTGATACTTGTTTCTGTTTTTGTTTTGTGCTGATGAAGGAAGTTAAAATTACCAACACATCGTCACAGAGGAAGAATGAGACACAACAACTGTTGCACAAAAAATCTGAAGGATGTTCTTGCGTGACAAACTTTACCGAATGCATCAGCGGTCCAAGAACCACAGCGCTGTCCACGCAGCGTCCCATCACTACAATATCAGCCCCGAGGTCCAGGCACCGTTTAATAGGGAGGGCGCTGTGAGATACAGACACAAGAAATCTGAATCTCATATGTGCAAACCACCAGTCTGGCTCCAGACACGAATAACAGACAAGACCAATGACACGCTGTAATTAACTTGTAGTTCATACCCCAAATATGCATTCATGCTGTGGACGGTTTTTGGAAGCGGTTTCTTTCCCTCGGAATCAGCCATCCTGAGTTCAGTCAAAGAGTCTTTCTAGGATAAACAACAAACCAGAAGATCACAGGGAGGATTTCAACACTGCCTGAACATTTCTCAGTAAGGGTAGAGGATGTAATATAATGAGTGATATAGCTATATAGTAATCACTACTACTATCACTCATACTTAAGTCTAGGAATTTGAACAAACCCCTGAGAATTATTGCAAAAAGTAGAATTAAAGTATTAACTATACACTACTTGCCAAGCTGAATTTTCAGCATCATTACTCCAGTCTTTAGTATCACATGATCCTTCAGAAATCATTCTAATATTAAAATATATTAAAATAAAAAGCTATTTTAAATTGTAATAACATTTCATAATATTACTGTTTTTTTATTGAAGATTATTTCAAATTATTATTAATTATTATTATTATTATTATTATAAAGTATTTAAAAAATGTTTATATACATTTTTTTTTTAATTGACGTGTGTATATATTACTAATATTTTTATGCATTACAATAATGAGAATTTAATGCAACTGTAAACATGTATAAAAAAACATAAAAGTAAAACATCAATGAAACATCAAAACAAATTACTGTAATGAGAAAATGTGCTTAACTGTCATGAAAGTGTCACAATGCATTTTTTTGTCTTTTGATTTTGAGGTGAAATGTACCATGAATATATCAGATTTTGAGCGCTTACCAGTCAGGTACTGTGTGCCAGTCTGTGAAAATTCCTCCTGTGGCCTGTGCACCACACTCAATCAGATGACCAGCAAGGCTACAACAGAGAAAAAAAAATAATTTCTCATGAAATTTCACAGCAACCAAAACCAGACTTGAATTTGAAACCGAACTTGAATAATAACATATGTGGTTAACCACAAATAATCTTACACTGAATGATCCTTCACACCACGGAACAAAAACAAATAAATCATGTGTGGCCGTCTGCCCTTATGTTCACCTAAGTGTAGTATAGTGTACATTTTTGTCCTGTGTCTGCTGATATGTTTTCAGCAGACAAACTTGTCTGATACATTGCACCAGTGTGTGTGTGTGTGTGGATGCATACATTTCCAGAGCTCATAGAGTTTACAGTACCTTCCAGCAGCCAACAGGTCATAGTTATTGCAGTCCCATGCAAACTGTCAAAACAAACAAACAAACAAACAAAGAGCTATAATACTCTTTTTTCCACACTGAATAAAGTTATATAAATCATTTATACATTCATAAGAGTTCTATTTTCTAAAAATTAAAAATGAATATATAATATATACATTTTTTATATATTTGTAAAAAAACATTTTCATATATAACAGATATTTTTCAGAAATCATTCTAATATGACGATTTGCTGCTCAAGAAACATATTCTTGTGGAAACTGTAATACATTTTTTTCCAGGATTTTTTGACAAATAGAAGGTTCGAAAGAACAGCATTTATTTGAAAGAGAAATCTTTTGTGACATTATAAATGTTGTTACTGTCAATTTTAATCAGTTTACGGTAGAATAAGTATTATAGTATTTACATTTTGTAGAACTCTAGACACTAAATATGCCCATAAATATCATAATTAGTCAAGATGTGCTGAATACTAGATGCTAAGACAATAAACATTCTATCTCTTAAAGCTGGACTCTGAACTTTTTTTGTTTGTTGTGCTGCATGATATCGCTGTCTGATATGATTTTCATCTTGGACTATACTGACACCTAGTGGTGTGGCTGTAGCATCATGCAAATGCAAAACTTTCATTCTACTAATGCTATTCTCGACTGTGGTATTTGCAGTCATCAATGATTATCTTATTAAGTGAAAGTGTCCAATAATAGGGTGGTTACTGAGATAAAATGAGTAGTATTCGCCTGGTCATGTGATGTCAATATGTCAGCTCGCATGAGATGGATTACAAAAGCATAAATGGAGCTCAATTACCTGTGGCATCAGGTCATCACCAGTAACCACAGCTACCTTCAAGTCAAGCCCAGCCTTTTGAACTACTTCCTGTAGAGCTGCTCCACAGGCAAGAGGATTGACACCTCCAGCGTTACTGACCACACGAATACCTGCAGGACACAACAAAGTATGACACCAAAAACATCTTTAATGTGTCTGAAATGACTAAAGATGAACATTATCCATGATATTTAAAAAAAAAAAAGTAAGTATTTACATAAAATGTTTCCAAATATACCTAAACTGCTTAGATGAACATTATCAATGGTACTAAAAATGCAAAATCTAAAAAGTATCTTCATAAAATATTAGTATTACATATTAGTTATGTAATTATATAATATACTATTATATTATATTAAGAACATAAAACAACCTAGATAAACATTAATTAACCTCAATAAAATGTGTCTGCATAAAAGTCACATTCTTATCATAATTTTACCTTTTTTGCTTATATCCTTAATAAATGGAGAAAGGGAAAGGACAAAATCAGGAGCATATCCCATATTCTAAAAGAAAAGAGCATTGTTAGAGTCAATCCAAGTGTGTATTATAATAAACAAAAGTAAAAAATAAATAAAAATAGGAATAAAAAATAGGAATAAATATCAATGAATCACCCTGAATTTATCACCATAAACAACAAACTCAGTTTTATGAGTGATATCAGGTATAAATAACCCGTAAATGTAAATTGCATGATGGAGGAATAACTTACAGGTGCTTTAGCTTTGGCTGCTGAAAGCAGCGACATGGTGATTTCAGACAGATAATCAAACACAAGGAAGTCCAATTTCCCACCATATATGAGCTGAGGAACTGCATGGAAGAGATTTTGTAAGGTCTGATGGTTCTTTTTACACAGCTTCATCAAGACATACTAGCCCAAAGAGTTGGACAAGCAAGCCACAAAATGTACGAATGACTTAAAAAAAGATCAAATCAAATGGCATTTATTGTTGAGGAATATACCATTAGTATACTTTCCCCTAGCAATTTTTTTCTCACAAAATAGCTTTTTAGCTTAAAATGATCATACAGTACATTTAAAATTAAAACAAAAATGCTTGGACACTTTGTGGTTGTTAAACTTTAGTAGAGCATCTTTTATGAGCAGCCACTAACGAGTTTGAGAGCAGTTGGAAGAAACTTTCTAATATAATTTGTTTTCAGATACACACTTATTTCGATGTATTTTATCGAATACAGTAATATTCACACAACAAATGTGGTTTAAGAGTTTTAATCTTTTTGGCGTCAGGAAGGTCAGAAATGGTGAAAAGGCGTGATATTATTGCTTTGGTGACATCTAGTGGTCATACAAGGAACTACACATGGAGAGGATTAGTTCGCTTGTTCTGTGTAATTCCGTCCTTGTGAAGAACTATTGTGCAGAGGGATAAATAACTTATAATCAATGTTAAATCATATAAAGTAATTTTATTCAAATACCTGACGTTGCAGTATCACCCCAAAACCCCGACGCGCATCCGATACGTGTTTTATGCGCTGATGAGGCGTAATGTCTGTTACTGCTTCTGTGACGCGAGTCGCTTGTAAAACATCGGACAGTAGTTGCAGATTTACTGAAACTGTGTGAATATAAAACATTATTTCTGCAGGAAGGCAGCGGTGAGGTTGAACAAGCTCTCACTGTCAACCGACGCAAACTCCCGGATATGCGCGTGAGATTCGTCATGCTCGCCAAACGCGTTTCTTGTTGAATTTATTTACTTTTTCCTCTTTCGGTGGACAGACTTGTGTCACACTTACTACTAAACTTGACAGTCAAAAGTACAATTTCGTACTACACACAATCTCATCCGTGTAGGACAAAATCAAGTTATCGTGGTTCCTACAAAGGACTCGGTCATTCTTGAGAAGTGGGACAGAACGGTGCAAAATTGAAAAAATAAAACCTTGTACTCAGACAAATTAAACTACATTTATGTATCTTATATGTACTAAGCTACTGAGCTATGCTTTGATACAACCTCCCAACTTTTCTCTTTTTTAATAAAATGTGCTTTTTTACCTTGGACTGTGTAATATAATTTCAACTTTATCTTTAACAGCATTTAAAATTGAAAATATTTTTATTTTTTAAAGCTAATAGCAGCTACCCTTGTTGGACCTGTTTTGTCCCACGTCTCAAGAATGACTGGCCTACATATTCTATTAAAACAGCTGAAATTGCTTATTAAAAAAAAAATATGAAGGTATTCATAATAGAGGTCTGAGGACCTTTATGAAACAACACATGAGACAACTATACTCGCTTTAAGATTATGGGCTTAGAAAGTTGCCATTGCTAAAGTAGGCTTATCGAGAATGTGGTATTTATAGATTCTGTTCGCAGTTTAGAAGTTTGGTATCCAAAATTGTTATCCTTCTAAAATAATAATTTTCCTATCCTCCTGAGACCCTGCATCCCCATATGAGGACATTATATTTTAGTGAATTTCTCTGAGACTATACATGCT